TTCTTCTTCCATCTGCTCACCACACCGCTGCCACACCTCCGCCACACCGCCGCTCCACCGTTTCCATCTTCTCGTTGCCACCTCCCCTTCATCGTCGCAGCCGCCAGCCTTCGCCTCGCCTCGCTGCAACGCCTAACCACAACAGCGTCGCCGGTCTTTCCTTGCCTCGCCGGACGTCGCTTTCCTCGCCGGACGTCGCGTGCCTCGCCGGACGTCGCGTTGGAGGAGGTATGAATGAATATAGGCAGCCTTGAATGCTAGATCTCGTTGCCTGTTTACATTTATCTGTACTAAATAAATTAATTTGTTATATACTCCGTATTAATCTGTTATATACTCCGTTGAAAAGAATTCAGGCTACAAATTAAATCAATCTAACCAAGATTTTCTTCAACTATGCCTACATATCTATTTCTTGCTTGTTTCCTTTTGTTTGAAATAGTTATCATTCTTCAGTTAGCTCAAGAGAAAAGCAATTCCCAGTCTAGCTGCCCCAAACAATTCACCTGCGGAAACATAACAAACGTGAGTTTTCCTTTCTCCAATGTGTCGAGACATGAATGTGGGTTGTACAGCTTAGATTGTAATGCTATTCCATATCCAACAATTACCTTGGGACAACACAAATATGGAGTTCAATTTATTGTGGGCGAACTTATGGTGCTCTTTGACCCACTTCGATTCTCATACAATGGAAGGTGTCTGAAATTTGTGCAAAGTGTCATTTTAATGAGGGGCAATGCTTAACTGACACGCATAACAATTTTCAATGTTTAGCAGGTACAAAAATTACACTAGCGTTTACATGAAATTCTTGTTGAGGTTGTGAAATTTATATATATCCAAGTACGGAACTTTAACTACTTTGTTAATGGTTATTAGTAATAACACATTCTCTATATGGGCTTATTTGGGGTTCTCTAGAATGGCTTGGTGATATTGTGATAATACCTTCTGAAATGTGTGGTGCTTCTTCAAGAGATATTTGTTTATAGCAGTTGGCAAAATAAGTATAGTTGTTATAAGCGGTGCTAAATGCTTCATTGTATATCTTTGCTCCTCTACTCAGTGGCATAGTGTCGTTAGTGATACACTAGATAGCAAGTAATGATGTCTGGTGTTGCATAGTAACACAATGAGTGAATGTCATGTGTGGATTACATATTAGCTATCAGATGAATAAGATTCTGCATATTAGTAACACAAGGAGTGAATGTAATCCTTTACTACTCAAATATCCTTTCTAATTTATTTGTCAAATTTTTTTTTTCTCAAAACTTAAGCCATGACAGATGTAACAGCTTGTATAGTAAAGGGACATTTAATGTTGTTGGGTATTTCTTGAATGCAGATCAGTAACTATGAGAAAGAAGTGGAGGAGATGAAACACATGACTAAACAAGAATTTGTAGCTGCAATTCGAAGGTAATTAAGTTGTTTTTATTATTAATTATGGATTAATTTAATTTAATTAATAAAAAATAATTACTAGAGAATGAATGGATATTACGAATTCTTTATATGTGAACACCTGGTATAAAACAAGAAATTGATTTTGTCTTTGAAACTCACCCTTTAATCTGGGGACTGATAATTTTTTTTTATAATAAATTATTTTCCTAGCTTCTTTCTTTTTTTCTATAAAATAATTTTTTTATACCTCATTTTTAAATTCCAAGAAGAGTAGTGACATTAAAGAGATAATGGAAATGTATGCGAATTTATAAATAATTAATAGTTATTATTGATATAGTGATGTTAAGTACTTATACATATTTTATGTTTTATATTAATAGGTGTATCCATGCAGAAGCCTGTTGATTGGAAAGAAACCAAATCGTTCTCAAAAATTGAGTATATGTTCGGTAAATATTTCATATATTTTGTAAAATTATATTTATCTTATTGTTTTTTAGTAAAAAGAATCATAATTACATTCTAATTCAATTGTAGTGTGTAATTCTTCTATCTTTCATGTTCTTTATCTATTTCTCCTTTCAATTTTGCTAGCTGATATGCCTGAATTGAAGTGTTTGCTAAATCTGAAATTGTTGCTTGGTACTTCAATTTTTTTTTATCATCCTTAAATATACTCCATAATTATCATAAGTTTTCACAGATTTATCAAACCTGCATATTTTCTGTGGAAACCTCAACATTTTCAACATCATCTGCAGGTTGTTCAGGCAAGAAAATGAAGTATGCTGCTTGCACTGGCCATGGTATGGGTGGTTCGTAGATTATTAAAGTACTTTGTATTAATTTTCTAGTGACTTATAGGTTTTGACCCAATGTCATGGTAGCTATATCCAGTGCTGTTGGGAGGAGTTCTTGTCTGGTACTCTCTTTCTCGTTTAAATTTTAATAAAAGAAAAATAAACGACGTACGTCATTTATTTTTTTTATTTTTAAAGTGAACATAAGACGTCGGTTTTTACATAAAAACCGACGTCTTATGTGAATTTATTTTATTTTTTTTTAATATACAACGTCGGTTTTATTAAACAGCCGACATCGTTTCTTAATTAAAAATATTTTTAAAAATATACGACGTCGGTTATTACTTAATAACCGACGTCGTATGTTAATATTAAATATTTAAAAATTATACGACGTCGGTTTTTTTAACCGACGTCGTATCTCATATTTACGACGTCTTCTACCTAGACGTCGGTCGAAAACCAACGTTAAATGGGTAAAAATAACCGACGTTAAAGCCTATTTTTGTAGTAGTGATTCAAACACTCCCAAATCCTTAACAACACATCATAGATAAACAATATATCACTTAATAAGCTCAAACACAACAAATATCTAGCATTTCTAGGCATTTCAACTAATAACAAGACTTCACAGAATCTAAAAACTTATGGGAGTCCATGGGGTTATACCTTTGTAGCCTATTCTTCTAGTGTGGATCTCAGCCTCCTCTCCCTTCAAGAAACTCCACTTCTTTCACCACCTAAACACCCAAGCAACCACAACACTAGGCCTAAGAACTTCATAGATTGGGAAGCTAAGGAAGAAGCAGAGTGAAGAAATGAAAGGGAAGAATTACTGTGAATGTTTTCTTTATCTGACAACTTGGAGAGGCAAGGTTTGAGATCAGGGAGTTAAGGAATGAATAAGGTGGGTTTTATAGGGTACAAAACCCTAGGAGATCCCCTTATGATTGGCTGATGATAAAGAGAAAATTTCTGATTGGTTCAAAAAGCATCAGACGAAGGTGTAGCCTAAGGGGTTCACCAAGCTTCATGGACCAAAGTCTAGAATTTGGATTTGAAATAATTTGGGGGTTTAATATGAATTTCCCAAAAATGACTTTTAGATAAACACTTGATTTAAGCTTCTCAGATTTCTCCCAGTTTCACTTAAAATGATTTTCAGCTCAAAAATTTGGTACGCAATGTACCCGGAAATTTAAGATTTTTTTTTTTTTTGAAATAGATAATTCTCGGTGTTGAATTTATTTAAAAGTCACTCAAAATAATTTATTCAAACACCGTGTTTATCGCAAAAATTTTGTAAGAGTTAAAAATGGCTATTTGGATTTTCTTAAAATCGAATTTAGAAAATAAAATTTTGGGTTGTTACATGACTGGGTACCCTTCTAGAGGTATCCATCAATAACAATAACAATAACAGTAACAATAAATCATTCAAATTTTACCAAAACAACACTTAAGTCATTAAACTTAAAAAAAAAAAAAAACAAAACAAAACAAAACAAAACAAAACAAAACAAAAAAAAAAACAAAAAAAAAAAAAAAAACTCCAAATTATGACATGAACTTGAAAAAAAGATACAATTGTGTGCATAAAATACATTATTTGAGTATTGAAAATATATTATTTGTATACTATCAAATAATATATATTCAGCACACAAATAATGTACTTTTAGTATATTAAAAATGTACATTATATTCATAGAAAATATATTATTTGAGTACTAAAAGTACATTATTTTGTATAATGTACTTTTAGTATATTAAAAATGTACTTTTTATATAGTCCACATAAAAATTTGTCATCAACTCTCACCTGCAGGGGCGGAGGTATGTGCGTGGGTAGGTGGGCCTTGACCCCCACCCCACCTCACCCCACCCCATTCTACCTTACCCTACCTTATCCAAAAATATTAATAAATATTCTGTATTTATGTATATATTTTATATTAAGAATAAAAAAATTCTTTTGCCCCCTGTAATTTTTTGTTTTAAAAAATTCTAATATGAATATATATTAAATAAGTCTAAAATATATATTAAAGTCCAAATTCACCAAATAAAAATAAATAAATCAAGTAATTAATTAATTATTATTATGTATTTTTATTATTTATTTACACTTTAGGATGTACATTTGCTGATTCAAAAGACTAGTTTTGAAATTGGAAAAACTAATTTTAATATTGATTTCTTTTTTTTTTTGTGATTTTGAAATTCATCCGCGTCCCTCAAATTTTGGAATATTAAGTTAATTAGTAAAATTAATATTAATTAATTATGTAAAAAAAAAATATTGCCAACAAAATAAATGACAGCTTTTATTTTATAAAAAAGTGACAAGCAAAATTATTTTTGTATATATTTTGTGTTATGTGAAAAATTTTAGAGTATCAATTGATATCGAAGTCAATTGTTACATAAATTATCATTAAAAACTATTATCGATCATACATAGTATAATTATGTATGGTATATAATGATATCATGCATGATTGGAACTGATGTTGATTGACATTATAAATTTTTTATGTCATTTTGGCCCCCGATGTACATTCTCTGGCTCCGCCCCTGCTTATCTAAGATATGTATTTTTTTTTAGTTATAATATACAGTAACCTTTTTATTAATTCATAAAAAATTACATTTTAATTAAAAATATTAACTCTTTACACAATATCTACTCACATTTTTAAGCAATTATAATCAAAACCAACCCAACGCTTTCTCTACTACTGAAAAACACCAAACAAACGCGGTCTTCTCTTACTTATTCTCTTTTAGGCAAATACTTTCCTTCACTGAGATGTCCTCCTTTAATATTTTAACCTTTATTCTTCTCATCATTTGTTCCATTAAATCTCAAAAACAGAAGAAAAAACGAGACGGGGTAAAAGAAGAAGAAGATGATGATGCTTTTGATAAGCACAGTTTTCTTAGCAATTCTCTTCACGGTTGGTTTCATCACTACATTCTTGAAAATTCCAACAAACAAATTATTCATGTGGTTTCACCCAATTGCCTCTGTGAAAGCGACACCTGCACTCGACAAAACCACCAACGTGGGTACTAGAACTAGGAGTATTATTAGTGCTGACAAGGAAGAGTTGAAGGGTGTTTTTGCAACATTTGACAAGAACGATGATGGGTTTATAACAAAGCAAGAGCTGAAGGAATCACTGAAGAATATTGGGATTTCCATGGAAGACAAAGACATCGCTGAAATGATGGAAAAAGTGGATGAGAACAAAGATGGGTTGATTGATCTGCATGAGTTCTATGAGCTTTGTAACTCTTTCTTGGGTGGGGAGAGTGAGAGAGAAGGGGATGGTGAGGAGATGAGCAGGAAAGAGGAGAATTTGAGAGAGGCTTTTGAGGTGTTTGATGAAGATACAGATGGGTTGATCACTGCAAAGGAGCTGAGTAAGGTTTTGGGAAGTTTGGGGTTGAAAGATGGGAAGACATTAGAGGATTTTAAGGAGATGATTGGGAGATTTGATTTGGATGGAGATGGGATGGTTAATTTTGATGAGTTCAAGAGGATGATGACTCAAAGGGTTATTCCAATCTCTTAATCCTATCCTCAGGTATATGTGTATATATATATATATATATATATATATATATATATATATATATATATATATATATATATATATATTGCGTGTAATACATAATATTAATCTAATCTTTTTTTTTTTTAAAAAAAAAAACCTATTAATTTAATCTTTTAAGAATGTAAGCTTTCATTTCTAACTATTGTATAAGTGTGTATGTTTTTTTTTTTCTTTTACTCAATGCTCAATGTTTGAGGATTTTTAATTTCTTTGTGACTAATAATAATAATAATAATAATACCTCTGATATACTCCTACTTTCTATTCTATTATCTACTTCATGTTGAGGTGACATCATTTGATGATTGATTTAAATAATATAGTGGGTAATTATTTTTTTATTACTCGGTATAATTTGTACATGTGGTAGATAAGAATTATATCCCATAACAGTACATATATCATTTTCGATTGTTTAATGTAGTTAACTAGTTGATGCCAAAGTACATTTTTCATTTTCTACATCATACTATGATTAAATTTTAAATGTTAACAAAAAAGTAATAATAATAATAATCGAGAATATAACTTTGTTTTTAACTATCGTAATTATAATTATATAATTACAATAATAATAATTATTATAATTATAATATAATAATAATAATAATATTATTATTATATTATTATTATTATTAATTATTAATTATTATTAATGATAGTAATAATAATAATAATAATAATAATATTATTATTATTATTATTATTATTATTATTATTAATTATTATTAATGATTAATGATAATAATAATAATATTATTATTATTACTACATTCTCACAACTACCTTACGTCCCCATAATTTCATATTTCTCACATTACCTTTCAAAAAATAATCCTATTACCTAAAATTAAAATAATCTGTAAACTAATTAAATGTTGCCTTTGTAAACCATACACCAAGCAGAAAATGGTACTGAGATGTTACCCATTTGAAATTTTAAAAGTGGTACCCAGGTTTCCTGGATTGTATTCAATGCATAAAAAGAATACCTATTTAAGGAGCCTTAGAACACATAATGATAAGCACACAATAAATATGTCTCACAAAAGTACTAATTTATTATATAGTCACAAGAGTAAGAGGTCCAAAAAAAAAAATATTATCTGAATCACATGCACCGGCAAATTTAGAGGCACCCTTTGGCTTACCAGCAGCCGGGCAGCTATACCAGATGTTGGCAAAAATCAGTCTAAAACATATAAAAATGCTCAGTTCTAGCGTGACATAGTCCACGTTCTCTAAGCTCATCTTACATACTAAAAGACGTCAGGGTGAAAATGCCCCGCCATGGAGTTGCTTTCTTGAGCCCGTTTTAGATGCATAGAAAGGGCGTAATTGTTCACCTGATCAATGGACACACAATATAAAGCATCAGTATGGTGCCCGATAGAACAGTGAACACTAAAACTCGAAAAGCTTTGAAAAGGGATTTGATTTGACCTCAAGAGTCCTAAGCTGCTCTTGGTATTGAGCCACAAGCTGCTTCATATGATTCAATTCTTGGCCTCTTTCCTCAAATTCCTTTTGTCGCTCATGCTGTATGGAAACAGCTCGTTTCAAGATATTATTTTCCTGTAGCACTGCTTCAAGCCTCTGCTTCAGCACCAAGTTCTCCTGCATTTCAGAGAACCAAACAAATTTCAATAATGAACACAATCCATTCCGTTAGTTCAGTTCCCATTAGCTCAATGAGCTAACAGCCATCCAGGGACGGAGCCAGAAATTCGGTTGAAGGGGGGCGAAGGAGTACGGACGGATTCAGAAATTTTTTTCAAAAGAGATAGTTTTACAGTTTTTGATTTTTTAAATTAAGGTAATGCCAAAGGATTCGAACCCTTGACCTTTACTATTGCCAAACATATGCTCTGCCAAGTAATCTAACTCATTTCTTGTTGACATTTAATAGTTTTTTTATACTAATACTAAAACCTGTACTATATATACATATATACATACAAAGATTATATACGGGGTGGGGGTGGGGTGGGGGGGGGCAGCTGCCCCCCCCCCCCCCCCCCCTTTGGCTCCGTCCTTGGCCATATCATCCGCAGAATGTAAACAGAAAAGAATATGAATGGGAATTTATATATAATGACACACAGAAGGAACACTATTTCATGCTTGTTCCATAAAAATAAATAAATAGAGGAGAGAATAATATTCCATAATTTGGTTAGCTTATACCCACAACACCTTTAAAGCATCCCAAGAAACATTACATGCATAATATTAATTTACTAACTTCTGAAATTTTAAAATTTCAGAACTGTATGTATGTATGTACGTACCATAGGTATGTACATATATATGTATAATAGAGAAAGGGATATGGTGTTCTTGTTTGGAATTCTGTGGAGTTAAAGACCAAATAAACATATAGGAATGGCAATTCCTCGGGGATTGGAGGAATGGAATTCTCATTCTGCTAAGTGCAAACCAAATGAAAGAGGTATGTGAGTTGGAGAGAGTAAAGGCCTTGGGGTGGAGCAGAAAAAGAAAAAGTTCAATCTCTGCTAAGGCTAGAATGCTAATTAAGAAATGAAGGAAAAGGAGGAAATGCAATGAAAAAGTAAGAAATGAATTAAAAACACACCTGTTGGAGACTATGAGAAGCTGCTTCCCTTGCAAATGCATAAATGGACTTCTCCAAGACCTCAAGAGCCCGTGAAGCTCGGGCTTTAGCATCTTCTATATTGGAGGCACTCATCATTTCTCTCACAAAAAGCTCCACCCATTCAGCACTGTCCATGGGGAGTTGTTTTGCAACATATGGATCCATCATAGGTGGTGTGGCATCCCCATCATTTGTTATTGTACCTGGACCAAGAAATGTGAGGAGCATTATCCAATAATTAAAGCCTTTCAGACTTGCTCATTGAGAAAGTTTTAGTACAACATATACAAAGCAGTTAAGATGTTCCTAATTCCTATTAACCTGATGTACATGTACAGGAAGCAAAAAGTATTTTAAGAAAGTATTTAATTGTGATTTCATTAATGACATCGTGAGTCCCTTTAGAAACAACTACTGGAGGGTTGACAGGAAACTAGGCAACAAAAATCCTTAGATATAGCTTTATTTTCAACTAGTGTTTTAATAGAAACAGGCAGGCTGAAAAGCATAATATCCTGGTTTGCTATAAGCAAAGGATCAATACCTTCATCCTGTCTATATGAATACTTAAGAAGTAATAAAAGATTTAGGGCAGGCAGTGAACAGAAAAAGAAAGATCAGAATATGAAATTCATTTTACAGGCAATATTTTGCAGTTAAGATCAGGGTCAATTAGAGGGCATCAGCTATAGTGATACACCTAGAGCCCAAGAGAATAGCAAGATCAGAATATGAAAAAATAAACAATTTGAAATAGCATAGGGAGGACAAGATCTTATATTCCTATATCTGAGAACCAGAGAAACTTGCCCTTTTGGAGCAATTTATAACAAAGACAACACACCAATATTGAAACTAAGAGGAATTTTAGATAATGAGGTTAGGGAAAGAAAGTAAAAAGTAATTTCTGGATTCTATATTGCCCTTATTAACATCAACTAATTTAAAATCAATTCTTACCTCAATAATAAGCCCATTCAAACTAAGAAGTTCAATTTACATAAAAAGTACAAACAAGCGGAATGATAATCAAACTGGAAGTTTAAACCATTTGTAATTAAAATAATAAAAAAAGAAATCCCAAAAAAAAAAAAAAAAAACACAAATTATCAAAGAAAAACTCATGTACGTTACAGTTCACTTGAGAAACAACAAATTGGCAAATGAAAATACCATTACCATGAGCTAAAATCTCTGGGCTGGCCACTGGGGTATGATCAGGCTTTCCTGCAGCTAACCCCAGATTCTCTCCAGAACCCAAATGAAGCTCATTTAGGCTTTTGATAGCAGAATCAAGATCATCACCACATTCTTGAAGTGCTCTTTCAAGCAACTGCAAATGAAGAGTGTGGGAGGGGGGGGGGGGGGGCGGGAAGAGAGAGAGGGGTAAGTTATCATAGATTTCAAAGTGACCTATACAACTAAATACTCAAAAGACAAACTCAGTCATGGAGAAATTTGCAGAAAAAAAAACCATAGAATATATTCCATCAACAGTCAGATTGTATTACCATCAGGACAATCACCAACGAAGAAAAAAGACTGATGAAATTCTTGCAGAAATTTATGAAATCGTTTTCAAGAGAAGCAATAAGAGAAATGGAGGAAATTTCATGGTACCAAAGTTTTGAATAACTACCCAAAAATATGGTAATGCATTTAAGTGAATCGAGGAATACATTTTTCAGTTTTTACAATTGGCAAAAATTCAAATAACCCTTTAAATGAAAAAGGGAATACATTTAAACCAAATTTAAGAATATTTATCGGCAACCTACCAAAGTTCTAAACAACTACCCTTAAAAGGAATAAAGGCATTTAAAAAGTACTGTAAAGAGTCTCACATCAATAAAATAAGGGAGAACATATAGGTTTATAAGGCTATGAGTTAGACTAGTTAATTGATGGGATTCAATCTTTTAGGGTCCGTTTTGGAAACTCGAAAAATGACTTCTAGAAGGCATTTTCCGGATTTCCCGTGTTTGGATCATCAAAAAAAAATAAAGTCAAAGGAAAATAATGATTCTGGTCAACAGAAAAAAGACCCAATTTGACAGGAACGTCTTCTTAAATTTTGTCGAAAGACATTTTCTGAATAATTATTTTCCCGTGTCTCTCTTTTCTCTGCAAGCTAGTTTTCAAATTATTATTACCACCATCACCACCACACCACCACCATCACCATTACCACCACACAACCACCACCACTATCACCATAATCACACCGCCACCATCCCACAATCACACCACCACCACCACCACCATCACAACCCACAATCACACCACCACCACCACCACCACTTATTATGATTATTATATTATTATTATTACTATTATTATTATTGTTATTATTATTATTATTATTATTATTATTATTATTATTATTATTATTATTATTATATAACAAATAATATGTTCATTTTCTTGAAAATGAACCAAACAAAAAAT